AGTTTGCTTCAGTATTTCATCAAAGCGGAGCCTCCCTTTGGCTATGCTTATGGAATTTGGTGGCTGTACTATTATTTTTTTAAACTGAAGAGGGGGTTTTAAACAAACAAGCAAAAAAAAAAAAAAGAAACGTTGGCTACGCTCCTGCTGGTGACTGTAATTTGCTTTAGTTTTTCTATAGCCTATATATAGTCTATGGCTTTAATCTCAAAACCACTTGGAGGAGGGGTTAAAAATCAAAACCATATGGTTTTTTAAAACTTGATCAAAACCTCCCTTAAATTGGCTATGCTCATAAAATTTGATGATTGTAGTTTGATTTTTTTTTTTATTAATTGAAGATGGGAGGTTTTAACCTCAAAACTTCTTGTATGGGGTTTTAACCTCAAAACCCCATTGTAGGGAGTTTTAACTTTTAATTAGCCTCAAAACCCTTTGAAAGGGGGGGGGGGGGAGTAAACACAAAACCAGTTGGCTACGCTCATGAATTTGGTGACTGCGATGTAGTTTGCTTTATTTTTTTTTTTTTAATTATTATTTAACTTCACCCCCCCCCCCCCCCTTTTACGATTGGTAATATGCTGGTGAGAGTTAGCCTATATGGTTTAACAGTGTCTACCCTACAATAAAATAAACTAAATAAATAAAGTTATTATGTTTTAACATAGAGTCTACCCTCCAATAAACTAAACTAAATAAAAACAACCCACAAAATTTCACCGCGTATCCCCCCCCCCCAGGTCTACCCCCATGGAGGATGGTATTTAAGTCAAAACCCTCTGGAGGGAGATTTAAACTCAAAACCTCCGCGGCTACGTTCATGGAATTTTGTTGAATGTAGTTTGCTTTAGTTTTTCATTAAAGATATTGTTTTCACCTTTATCATTATGCCTTTAAAAAAAATTCACCCTCCCCCCAGAGGGAGATATTTCATTTGGGGGGGGGGGGGGAGTTGAATCCCAGAACCCTCCCCCTCCCGGCAAAAAGCAGAGAGGAATGCCAATGACGACTAAATATAATATCGTAATGGAATCATGGAACTATACTTATATAATATCAGTACTAGACGCCTTATATATTAAAATCAAGTTCCATGATGGAATCTAGATTGTAGGTGAAGGTGAATAAAATTTAAAACATGAACTTTTTTCTTTTCGTTAAATCTACAACGCAACACACAACACCAATACCAGATGATAGATCTATACTATACTGACTATAGTCACTATAGTAAATCTATACTGACTAGACTCTATACTATTAGTATTAAATTAGGAAAATAAATAACAACTTAAACAAGGACAAGACGTCACAATTAGAAAAATCTATTTGAATCACCAAGACACGATAATTGTAGAGAGCTACACAAGGACTGTGCAGATACTTACTTAGATTTAGATCTATAGTGATAGTATTCTGATAGTGACAATCTATAATAACAATTACAATAGTCACTAGGAGTAGATCTATTGATTCTATTCTATAGCCTGAAATGCATCTACGAATTTCCCTAATATCAAAGATTTCAATAATAATTTCAGTTTTGTCTTTACCGTTATTGCTAATACTAGGGTTAAGTTTTCAGATATGTTTTGGCTTTAGGCATGATTCACTTGAAGACATTCCATCAATCTTCCCAAGCAGGCTTAATTATGCAGGTCTAAAGTCACCCATGAAAGCTTGGTGGGTTAAGGAAATAACTCCAGATTTTCATGTCAGTGGCCGATTAACAGAGCGTCAATTAAAGTATGCAGCAGAAGCTGGTTTTAAAAGTATTGTTTCATTATTTACATATCCTGCTGAAGATTTTGATACATTTGGAAGTGTCCCCTTATTAAATACAGACAAAGAAAAACGAGTTGTAGAAGACGTAACTGGCCTTCAATTTCATGTAGTTTTAGATCCAATGGATGAATGGGCTAGTGTGGAAGCTGTAGCAAAATTTACCTCCTTGGCTCCTAAATTGGAAAAACCAGTTTTGCTTCATTGTGATAGAGGCTATACTATAACGTTCATTGTGCTGCTTTATATGGCAAACCAGACAATACATAATACCAATTTTAAACCAAAAATTCATTCCAATGAATTTTTTGAAATAGCTGCTGCAATGGGATATGATTTCTTTGATCGCATTCCACTAGAAGTAGTTTCTGAAATAACAAAAGAACCTATAGAAAAATTTACTGATAAAAGTGTACCAAAGCCAAATTTCCAGCCTACAGAGTGGTATGACTATTGGCTTGCCCAACCTGTTTATCAAAACTGGTTTATAGCAGGGCAGATCTATAAATCTCATGTGAATCTGCTTAAAGACTTTGGATATAAAAGTGTTATTAATCTGAGACCTGGCATAATTTATAAAGGAAAACCAAATCAAGAAGAGGTGACCTTATTGAACATACAAGATTACACTGGAACATATGGAGACACTCATACACCTCCACGCCAGTCTACTGAACGTCTACTGAAAACCAGATTAAATCCTAATTTACCTAACTCTTACATTAGTAAAACTTCTGAAATAAATTATGAAACCACCAATGTAGAAGAGTTTGGAGATAATTTTGGATATAATTCAGATTTAGAGAAAAAAGTATTTGATAATCAGGACTTGAAGTACTATCATTTGGCTTATGATTTCGACGGTAATTATATTTTGTTTGTATACTGATCTTGAGTACTGCATAATATAAATTGAATATTGAAGTCTTACATTAGAAAGCTTGTGCCGATGTGTAATTTTCCTTCATATATATTTTGTATTTATGGCGTTGAGTGTTTACAGCAACTCTAGACTCTTTTTTTTTCTAAGTGAGTGGGGAAACTAGCATCTTACTATATAGAGAAAATGTATTGCTTAAATGATTGTATCACAGCATCATTCAGTTTTGTTTTTAAGTGATTCTACAATGGTGAAGGGGGATTAGTATAGTTAGCCAAAATATTTGCAAGATTTTTTGTTGTAAAAAAATTTTTTAATAACAAATATAATGTTGTTTGGGCTCAAATAAAGCTGGTGATAAATTATTATGGTACTGTGAGTTCAAGAACTAAACTGAAACTTGGATATCATTCACTTTTAATGGTTATATGGCTTCAAATGCTGTCAATATGATAGCCTGTGTTATAGTAATATACAGTAATACTTCACACAACTGTCTGACATCTAAATAAATAATTCTTCAATTATAAAAATATATAGATGTAGTTTACTCCATACAAAAGAAAATATATCGTCCTCTGTTTACCTTTATACTTCTATCTAATCTTTATCTTAAACTGCCATCATATTTTCTTTTGGTTCAAGATTACAAAATGCCCAATACATAAATCTATATCCTAATCCTACTAGTAATGTACCCTGACAACTAATCAACTGTTGATCATAAAAACTGGTTAGCTCTAACTTTTGTTGTTTGGATGCAAATTTTAAAACTATATTTTTTTTCACCATATTAATCATTTTATTAACTATTACATCAACAGTTCAATTATTAGAATTCAGTGAGGTGTTTGAATTGAACAAAGAGTTATTTTTAAAAATTGGAAAAGATGGACCTGTTCTTGTACATTGTGCCATTGGGTTTAGAGCTGGTAGGACATTTTACAATCTTAAAATGATCAAAGTTTTTTTTTTTCATTGAATGTATTTTTATGCAAAATAATACTACATCTCATGTTTTACTAATTAGATTTTATTATGCACCAAAGATATTTTTGTGTAACAAAAAAAAATGTTAAAAAGTCACTTGAGTTACAATAATAGTAATTAAACTCTTTTGTTTCCTCAGCTACAGTTGCAGTACTGACTTCAGCAATACAATATAATCTGACCCTTGACTGGGCTCTTCAGCGTTTGAAGGAACTTGGTTTTGGCATCACCCAGGATGCATACCCAAATGTGTACAAAGTTTATGAAAAATATTTAACACTTCAAAAAACCGAACTCTAAGTGACATTAGTAAACAATATTTGGAATTATTGCAGAGCATAAACCAAGAGGACAGCAAACATTTTTTTAAACATTCATATTTCATAATGTAACGTCAGTTGCCATGGTATTTTTTTTTACAATATTCACTTAGTAATAGTTCCTTTTTTTATGATACATACGTTTTATTTATTTATGAGTTGTAAAATGTACTTAATTCTTCTCAAAACTTTTCTCTTAAATGGTACAATGTTATTCTTTTTTTTTTCAAGCCTTGACTAATTGGTTACTTTTTTTTTATATTGATTTATGTCTTGTTTATGCCAATGAAAAATTGTGTAAAGTTTCAACTTGATCCGAGAAAGGGTGTGGGAGAAATAACCTATGCACACTTCAGACAGAGTGAGTTGATATAAGCTTTGTAAAAATAGAAGTTGAAACAGTTTAAAAATTGAATTGTTGATTGCAGACTGTGTACCCAAAAATAGAGTAGACTTGAACTTTACCCAAGTTTCTATGAGTATCTAGTTTCATAAGTCATTGTCAACTTGTTTTGTTTATCTAGATTGCCTTTAACAAAACTGGTCACATTTAGTAAGGCTTAACTAGATTAAGTGTACCCCATTTTGTAAGATTAGAACTAATGTAGCATTCAGTTAGGTTAGAATTAGTGTGTATCTCATTTTGTAAGATAAGAACTAATGTACCATTCAGTTAGGTTAGAATTTGTGTGTATCTCATTTTGTAAGATTAGAACTAATATAGCATTCAGTTAAGATTTAGTGAACCTCATTTTGTAAGATTAGAACTAATGTAGCATTCGTTCATTCCTTACTCGGTCAGACTATATCAATGCCACTCGTTGATCAAGAAACATTAAAAAGACAAAGATATCTGTGTGTAGTCGCTCAATGAACTCTTTATTTTATGTCTGTTCTATTTATGTGAATGTTTATGTTGTGTTGTATTTATATTAGAAAAAGAATTCTTTGTAATCACAACAAATTTCCATAAGGATAAATAAAGAAGTCTTAGTCTTAGTTACATCTAGTGTACCCTATTTTGTAAGATTAGAACTAATGTAGCATTCAGTTGGGTTACATTTAGTGTAACGTTGAGCGTAATTATCAGAATTTTCATAAAAGTAAAAATTTTATTGAACTCATATCTTAATCTTGCTTAATGCAAACAGGCTGTTTAATATTTTTAATTAAGATAACAATAATCATATTTTTAATTAGGTCATTAATTGTTATATTTTAATCAGAAGTTTAAACAGTATTTGCTTTGTTAATTATGTGATTTGTATTTAGTAAAAGTATGCTTTTAAGCTACTTACATTAAGTACTTATTACTTGACTTTAATTCCTGCATCATTTAAAAAATATCTTCCATTTTGTTTCATTTGTTTAGAATCTTTGGTTCTAAATTTTATTAGTTTTCCTTTATTCTGTTAAGTATTTGTCTTAGCATTTCGGTTTAGACTTAATTTACATTGCATTTTGTTCTTGTCAAACATTTCAGCAATATTAGTTTCATCTTACATTTGAATAAGAAATAGATTTCTATGAACAAACCTTCTTACTCCTTAACTACTACTAGTTCATTGAGTTTGTTGAAAGACATGTGAACATAGATACACGTTTTTTAGGTGTTTTGTCTGTGTGATAGGACTTTTTTTAAAACTAATCATTGGTCCATGTATAGATACAATGAATTATGTCTATTTTCTAAACTGTTCTAAATTATGTACTTTTAACTGGTCTTTCTGTGTATCAAATCTATCTTAGCTCATGCAAGTGTAAACTAACTAGGCAGATAAAAAGTATGTAAACAAAGCAGATAAAAGTATTAAAATTTCTTTAAAGACAGAGAAACATTGTTGCCTCCAAGGACTATCAGAACATCACTCTTGAGCGCATGTCAAATGACCACTCACTAATTCAGTGTCTCTGCTACAAAGAGTGTCTACTTGGACCTACAGACATATACTTAGACCTAACTAGAATGTGTGCTCTCTTGTGACAAGTCTATTTGTATACTTGAAAACAGAATATGTTTACCTATTTTCAATTCAACATTGGAATACATAGAGTAGAAAAGAGATGTTTCTGGTCCCCAGTACCTGATGTCATTATTCAAAACATTTGCATCAAGATATCTAACATCAGTGTAGGCCTACGTATATGAAAGGCATTTTAAATTCAAACTCTACATATTGAATATCAAACTCAATGAATAAATATGATCATAACTAATTGTAGATCTTATTAAATGTTGACACATTTTGTCAGATATCTTAAAGGTATTTCTGATTTCTTTTTTTTTTTTTATTTTGTTAAACCATTGGACCTAATATTAGACTATAAACTATATCGTGCTTGCATTTTTTCCTTATATATTTAGATTATGGCCTTTTAAAAATTTTTAATGATCATAGGCTGTCCACCCAAGCTACTAAATGTAATTGTCTCCTTTCATCAAAATATGATGGGTAGGCTACTGTGAGTTCTATGACGCCTGCGCCCAAAGTTTCAGCATAAACAGCGGAGTTAAACAAGGATGTGTCCTGGCCCCAACCCTCTTTGGAATACTATTTTCACTGCTAATCCACAACGCGTTTGACAAATCCACTTAAAGCATCTATGTCCATTGCAGATTTGATGGCAAACTCCTAAATATTGCCAGACCGAGGGCCAAAACTAAAATCAGAACCACACTCGTAAGAGATATGATATTCACGTACGATGCAGCGGTAGTGGCACACTCACAAGAGGAGCTTCAGTCACTAATGTCCCGCTTCTCTCAGGCCTGTAAAAAAAATTAGCATGCAGAAAACAAATGTTATGGGACCACCTGCTACAGCACCATCACCCTTCATCTTCATAGACGATAAAAAGCTAAATGCCAGTAAATGAATTGTGCTATCTGGGATCCAGATCTAGTTTGTTTATTTTTCATTCAAAATGTTTCTGAATCATTAGTTACGTTTATTTACATTAAAGGCAAAATCTTTCATGCAGAACAATTACAATACAGTATTTAATGTAGTGAGCTGGCTTGGTCATGTGTGCCGGATGGACAATCGCATCCCGAAACGCATTCATTACGGGCAAGTAGCGTCTGGCTCAAGAAAAACTGGGTCGCCCCCACCTCCGTTACGTGGAATAATTCAAACTGGACCTTAAAACAGTGAACATTGATAGTGAGTACCATTGGGAAGGCCTAACCCTAGACCGCAGCAAATGGAGATATGTTGACCAAGAAAACTATGGACAGCGAAAAAACATGGGCCTCAGCTCTAGAAGAAAATCGTGCCAAACGAAAAATGGCTGGCTCCTCTACTACCAAAGCGAACGCCACCTTAACCTGCGCTATATGTGGACGGGAGTGTCTCTCCCAAATAGGGCTCCACAGTAGCATGACAAAGTGTTCTACGAGATGAACCGTTGTCGTTAGGACTGAACACACACATTTAATGTTGTCAAACTACCAATAGTACAATACTTATGTAAGGTACCGGTACTATGTTTTGTAACAAACATAAGGCCAATAAAGAGGCGGTACGGTACAATATATAGGCCTATGTAGGGCCGCCTCTGGCGATGGGAAGACAACATAAAAGTATGGGCGGAATTTTGTAATTGAAAGAGATTCTATCAAAGGTAAAAGACAGGAATGAAAAAACAACTACCGGTCAACAGATCTTGTGTGTTGCCCCAATCTAACAGACAAAGGAATATGTGGCGGTAAGGAAGGAGCTAGTGAGCTAGCATTTTTTTCCTCGTATATATAGGCCTAATATAAGACCTTGACATTTTCAAGAAAAAAATAAGTTATCGAAATAAAATTTTGATTTATAAATAAATATATAAAAGAATTTTTTTTTAATGAGAGGGAGAGGAAAAAAACATTTTCTATAGTATATTGTATTGTTATAATTATTTAAGAAACTTAAAAAAAGGTAATTTTTAAAGGTTATCTCCCATTCATTAGTTCAGTAGCATAAGTAGCCTACGTAACGTAAGCTAGTGCTACCACCAAAACAGGCGTAATTTTAAGCCATGCCGTTCACGTTGTATTATTTTTCTACCTAGATCTAGACCTAGATCACACTCACTTTGGCATTAAGTCATTTTACATTTGTATAATTTTTTAATTTCCACCACTTTTTCTCTTTTTTTTTTTTTTTTTTGTCGGCTGAGGTTGTTTTGTGTGTGTGTGTGTGTGATTATAAATAGGCCTTCAATGAAAATATAGTAATCTACTATGCCGATTTATAATTTATAAATGGAATTCTCAAATGTTTACAAGTGAATTATCGATTTTTTGAAAGCTAACCATGATTCCGCCTGTGGTCTGCCTGTACGATTGTCGCGAGAACAAAGAGCCATCCACGCGAGCTCAGCAGATGAGAGCGGAGCCTGTTTGACTCATCAGTGGTGAGTAAACCCACGGAGACTTTTTCACACAACTAGTGGACATGTTGCTTTAAGCTCGATACCAACTGAAGTATGACTGCTAAGGTATGTACAAGAAATTGATACACGATACGTTTTTGTGACCAAACTTAAATAACTATAAAGATACAAAAGAACAACTTAATGACCTAGAACGATTTATGACGAGATTGTATTTGATTGTTTTATCTGGTATCGATACTTTGAAAGTAACTAACGAATAGGATCTATTAATAAAAAAACAACACGGTGAAGCTGTTGTCAGTTCAAATCCTAGAATATACTTTAAAAAAAAATGTAGATAGATCCACTAGCATGCCTACTTGATCATAGAAAAACTACCTATAACCTCAAAAACATGACGTATAAAATTATTGATAGGATATGAATTAATGAATAAATAGACATGATAAATTGTGCATGCATACAAAATGTGCTAATTGAAATCAAAGAAAAAAAAAGTAAAAGCTTAGCTGATTTTGACACTGTATGGTTCCACGAACAATCTTATCATATAATTATCTAATAATTGTTTAAATGTTTACTTTAGGCCTAACTAATTATCCCATTATAGCCGTAATGCTTGTCTTTAGTAGGGAGCATTTGTTCGCCATTCCTCTTTGAAAACGTCCAACATGTAGGGGACCTAGGTCTACTAATTGAGATTGAACAGACTTTATTGAGCTCATTCACTTTTTTTTTTTTTTGGTTTATACTCTTTCTCTTCGGTCTCTTTGTCTTTCTCTCTCTCTGTTGTTCAAGATATGTCCATTTTCTCTCATATTTCTTTCTTCTCATTTTATTTCCTTCTTATATTATCTTATATAATACAGACGTTACTTAAAAAAAGAAGATGATTACGTCCTACGCGTCATGCATATTAACCAATGACTTAAATTCTGCCAAGTCACTGGTTTTTCTGGCTAGCTCAGGCAACCCATTCCATGCTTTAATAGCACTAGGGAAGAAGGAGTATTTGTACAAATTTGTCCTAGCATAGGGGACGAGGAATGTGCCTTTATTTTTGTGTCTTTCAGAGTATTTTATTAAATTTTGTTTTTGTATTTGAAGATTATGGTTCAGTGTTTTATGTATAATTGCTACTTTACTTTTGAGTCTTCTGTCCTGAAGGCTTTCTAAATTTAGTGATTTTACTAATGGTGTTACTCTAGTCAAATGTGAATATTCGTTTGTTATGAATCTCACTGCTCTATTTTGTGTTTGTTCCAGTTTCTTAATGTTTTCTTGAGTTGAGGGGTCCCAAGCGGTGGATGCATATTCTATTATTGGCCTAACCAAGGTTAAATAACATTTTAGTTTTATGTTCTTATTTGATTTATAGAAATTTCTTTTAATAAACCCTAATGCTTTGTTGGATTTTTTTTTTATAGTTTCATCAATATGTGGATTCCATGACAGTTTTTCATTTATTATAACACCTAGGTATTTTGCGTTTTTAGTCTGTGTTACTGGTTTGCCATGAATAAGATAAGTGGAATTAATTTGTTTTAGTTTTTTTGTTACTCTTAACAACTGACATTTTTTCTGGGTGGAAAGACATGCTCCAATTTGATTCCCATTTCTGTAATTCATCTAATTCTCTTTGTAAAATATCTGTGTCTTGTGTTGTTTTTATTGTTCTATATATTATGCAATCGTCTGCAAATAATCTGACTTTTGTTCCTGAACTAATGCAATTTGGTAAATCATTTATGTAAATTAAAAATAGTAGTGGACCCAAGACTGTTCCTTGAGGTACACCTGAGTTTACTGTTATTAGTGTTGATTTAGAGCCATTTATTATTACAATTTGTTCTCTCCCTATCAGAAAATCTTTAATCCACTGTAAAGTGGACCATTAATGCCAAAATATTTTAATTTTTTAAGCAAACTATGGTGGTGAACTTTGTCAAAAGCCTTGGAAAAATCTAGTAAGATAGCATCTATTTGTTCACTACTATCTAAACCTTTTGAAAAATCATCAATTAGTCCTATTAGTTGTGTTTCACATGATCTATATTTCCTAAAGCCATGTTGGTATGGGGTGAGGACATTATGTTTGTCTAAGTGGTTTATGATGTTGCTACATATTATGTCTTATTGGATTTTACATGTGATGCTGGTAAGTGATACTGGTCTGTAGTTGCCTGGATCAGATTTTTCCCCTTTTTTTAAATAGGGGGGTGACATTAGCTTCTTTCCAGTCCTTTGGTACTCTGCCCTGGTTAAGCAATGCCTGAAAGAGTATTCTGAACACTGGGGCTAGCTCATTGCTTAGTTCTTTGAGTAATCTAGCTGGAATACCATAAGGTCCAGACGCTTTATTTGGTTTGGTGTTGGCTAATAGTTCTTGAATTCCATTTTCTTGTACTACTAAATCTTCTATGTTGTCTACTTGGTTCAAATTAAGAAATATGTCTCCTGGGGCTGAGAATGCTGATGCAAAGTATTTGTTTAGGATGTTTGCTTTAGTTTCATTATCATTATGTATTATGTTATGTTCATCTTTTAATGGCGCTATGCCTGTTGTTTCCATTTTCCTAGACTTAATGTATGACCATAGGTTTTTGTTGTTATCTTTAGATATTGTTTATGTATTCACTCTGCAGCTGTCTGCTTACTTTTTGGGTTAGGTTTTTAATTTTTATATACTTTTTGTAAACTCTTTCTGCCTTGGTTTCTTTAAATTTTCTATATAGGTTTTCCTTCTGTTTACAAAGCTTCTTTAGTCTATTATTAAACCAGCATTTATTTATTTTGTTTGATGTGTATTTAGTTGGTATATGATTTTCTATAATGCTTTTAAGATGGTTTTTAATGAAATTCCAGAGGTCATCGGCTGGT